GTCCTGGATCGGGACTCCGCAGTGCCGGTACCTGCTGTGCGCGTCGAAGGACGAATCGGCGGGCGGTGCCGCGGGCGGTGCCGCGAGCGGTGCCGCGGGCGGCGCGAGCACAGTGGAGGCGGAGGTGTCGACGGGCGTGTGCTTGTGCCACAGACGGGTGGTGGGGCAGGGTGGCGAGGGGAGAGGTGCTCTCGGAGGATGCCGCCCACCGCTGCGCGATGTGAGCCACAAACGGGAGGTTCGAGACGATGAGGCGCTCCCGCTGGCGGTAGAGCAGCGCGAGCGAGCGCACAAAGGCGCGCTCGTCCCCGACGAACCCGATCGCCACCGACCACTCGAAGTGGCTCGGCGCCCTCTGCAGCCGCTCCGCCAGCTCCTCGCGCGTCGCCGTCCACCGGCGCAGCATCTTCATGTCGAGCGCGAGCCCCTGCTCCTCCTCGGGGGTGAGGCGGCTCCGTATCCGCTCGGCCACCTCCTCCGCCGCGGGCCGCTCCGGCATCTGCAGCACCGAGGCATCACACATGGCGATGGACCTCGCAGCGGCAGTGCGCTGCAGCGCAGGCTCGGCCCGGCCGGCCACGGCGCGCAAAATTGGAACCGGCGGCGACGAGAGGAGCGCCGCGGGCGACGGCTGGACGCCGAAAAGAGCTGCCGCTATCAACATGGCGCAGCGACACCGCCGAGAAGCGAGATGCAGAAGCGGGCTGCAAAAGAGCACCTCTGGCTTGATCGGCAGCTCTGAGCTCGAAACCCCAGGGCTTCGACGACATACTTGAATATAAAGAAAATCACGCAGCACACACACTCCAAGTGGAAGTGCACTCCAAGTGCGAGCGGGAGGCATCACCATGCGGAATAGACGATACACAGACGAACACACACACGTCACACCGCGCCACTCTCACAAGCTCGCTCACCTACTAATATTTAACATCCACTTAGAAGTGGACTTTACACGATTTGAGCGCGTCGCGCCCAGCGGCTGGAGAGTGGACTCCCCTCCCCGGCGCCGCCGGCAGGGTCACGGCTCGGCGCCGCCGGCAGCGCCACTCAAAGAGTCAAAAGTGTCTGCACTCTTTGCGTGTCCGGGGTGTCCGGCTGTCGCGCCCAGCCAGCGGCTGGATTGGGCGGAGGGACGGGCGGCTCGACCGGACCGCGGAGGGCTCGCCGCCCCTTGGAGGGCTTGGTCCTGCAAGGTCGGCCGACGACGAGGCCATCGCGGAGGCACAGAGCAGTAGCACCGGCGTATAGCCCCTGTAGATTGACGTTTGGCCCCGGCATAGAGCAGGCATAGAGTTGTTTGGTATTGGCGGCGCGTCGCAATCACCCGCCCGCCGTCCCGGCGGTCCCGCAGCTCGCGCACATCTCCCTCTTAACCCACCTGTAACATCACATAATGGTATTGCTAAAAATCGCAACTTGGATGGACTTTCTCTTGTACGAAAAGTTCTTCACATAAACGCAAGAGGCAAGTGACAGTCGTGATTTCTTGTTGGTCTTCAAAAATCTCTCTCTCTAAACGCACAACCCCGGGCTGAAATCGCAGGCTTCTCCGAGCTGGCTCCGAGAGCGCCGACGCGCGACGGCCCGGCCGAGGTTTTCCCGGGCGGGGGCGGCGACATTAAATCGTCCCGCCGCCGCCCCTCCTCGGGAGGTCGGGCCGTCTCTCCGGGGAGGCGTGGTCCTCCTTGTCGCAATTCATGCATGATGGTCAGGTTGCCGCCGCAGTGGGTCTGCCCCCGCGCCCCGGCGAGCCCGTGTGTGCCCCGACACCACTCAACAACTCGCAGAGGCCGAGTCAGCTTGTCTCCCTCACCTCCTCCGCTAGCTGAGTCACTTGGAGCACTTGGAGTGCAGTCATCAACCGCACATCCAGGGCCGACGATATATCTTTACTTCCAAAACCCGGACGTGCCTCCACCGGCACGCCGCTTCCGACAGGGTGATGGAAGGTTCGACGCACCCCCGGACTGGGCGGAGAGATCCCAGGGCACGCTCCTGGGCTGTCCGCCCCGCCCCCACTTGCCCTGACTGCACAGGATAGCGTGCCCCGACGAACGGCGACACATAGCGGGGGACACTGCGCCGGGGGGTATGCCTAACTTTGGTGCTTTGTGTGGGTCGCGTTCCCTTGGTAGCTGTGTGGTTGAAGCCCTCGTGCCGCTGGCTTGCCCCTTCCAGCGGCTGGCCCCTCGAGACTGTCGGTGCTTGGCGGGAGGAGGGGGAGAGGGAGGCCCGGTGGGAGGAGAGGGAGAGGGAGGCCCGGTGGGAGGGGAGGGAGAGGGAGGCCGTCTTGGGCTCTTCTCCTCCCCCCTCCCTGGGCTCTTCTCCTCTCCCCACCCTGGGCTCTTCTCCCCTCCTCCCTGGTACTCTCGGCCTGATTACCGGAGCGACTGCCGGAGCAGACGCTGGGGGGACACTCGCGCCCGGAGGCGGTACGCACGACCCGGAGGCGTGGGGATGGGGGGGGGCCGCGCCGCCGCCGCCGTGCCGCCTTCTCCCGCTTTGACCTCCCCCAGCTGCTTCTCCTCAAATCAACCTGTGAGCTTGCGAGGCGGCGGGGGTGGGAGTGCTCTCGGGCGGCGTGTGCGAGCGCGCCCGGCGCGAGATCTCTGTCGCGAGGGCACGGTGGGTCGGGTGAGTATCTCGCGCGCTCGCACTATTTCACGTTATATCTAGCACTGCCTTTGATGCGAGCGATTCTAAGATCAGGTCTGCCACCTCCCCGCTGGAAACGAAAATCTAAGTTTCAAATCTCGAATAAATCTCGAAGCACACTTGAATGCTCACTTGGCAGGTAACATATGCGCCACGCGCCCCAACCGCTCCTCTGGTCGCCGCCGGCCTCCGCGGCGGCGGCGATGTCCCAGCGCCACCCATCGGCCAGCCCTCAGATCGATCGATCGGCGCTCAAAGTCGGCTTCAGATCCGAGAACGCTGCTGGCGCCGCCGCCGATCCCAGCGGCGACGCCAGCAGCTTCCTCTGCTCTCCAATGCGCCGAGAAGCGACGCGGGGGTGCTCGGCCCGCCATGGACGACGAAGGTTCCGCCGGGCGCGCGTCAGCCGGTCCGGTGGCACCCTCTGCGCGCGGCACCTGCCGGCGCCCCGACGACAGCCGTCGCGCCACCGCTGATGGAGGGGCGGTCGGCGCCGCTGCCGCCGCGCCGCCGGTGGGAGGGGCACTGGTGGTGGCCTGGGCGGCCCTCCGCCGCCGCTCGGGGCGCCCGGGCAGCGGTGGCAGCCTGCCGCCGCACCACTTCGAAATGCCCGCTGACCACTTCGAAATGCCCGCTCGGCGGCCCGCGATCGGCGCTATTCTTTTTTCTACTAAGCAAAATTCAAGCCAATTGAGGAAACTGAAGCGGGCAGGCTGGAAGCACTGAGGGACGGCCGATTTTCGCCCAGTGGTAGACCTGATCTTAGAATCGCTCATGCCTTTGCAAGAACCGCCAGCGGCGGTGGTCGAACCGGTTCGCGGTTCGAGCCGGGACCTTTTGGCTCCCGGTTCGGAACTCGCTTGGAGGGTTGCTTCGCTCTCGCGGAGCGAGCGCGGGCGCGTGGGTGCGTGTGCGCGTGCGCTGCTGCAAGGCGAGGCGAGGCGAGGCGCGGGGCGGCGCGGCGCGGCGAGGCGGGCGGCGGCGGCGCGCGGTCGTTCTTTTTGCCCGGGTGAGGCGTGGCTTGCGCGCCGCGCGGTGATGACGCAGCACGCTGAAAAGTCCTTGGTGAGCCACCGCGGTGGCAGCGAGCCAAAGCAAGCCACCTGCCGCATGACGGGTTGACCGACGGCGTCTCTTTTTTTTTCTCCAGGGCCGACGATAAGGCGGCCGCCCTGACCACCCAAGACAGCTTGCAGAGCTCCCGGAGAGGCAACATTTCGTAACGATCGTCGCTATTGGCCATCTGCCTCCTGCAGCCTCTGTTGGGGTGGAATGCGCGGGATTTTCGGCGCGATGCCTCCGGCGAGTATACGGTACTGCTCTGCCGCAAGCTCTCCTGCGCGCGCGTGACGTGTGGGGCGCGTGCACTGCGCTCGAAAGTCGCGATTTGGCAATAGGCGCTCGAGCCGGCGCGCAGTGGAAGGGGGCGCCGCGCAGGGGGGTCGGGGGGGTGCGAGGGGGGGCGTGGGTCGAGCGCGCACCGGCCGGCTCCGAGAGCGGCCGTCACGTCGAAGAGGGGGGCTGGTGCTGCTCGAATGACGAGGCGTGCCGCTCTGCTGCGCTGTCGACAGCCCCTCTTCCGAGCCGGCGCGTGGCGGCGAGCCGCGGCCAGTGTCGCTGGTGCGGGGGCGGCGCAGCGTGCATCGGCCGGCGGCGAGAGCGGCCTTCACGTCGATGAGGGGGGTTGTCGGCGACTCGTGTGGCTCGAGGCCTACGCTGCGCCGCCCGAGCCCTACTGCCGATCCAGCGCCTGGCGTTTGGGGCGAGCCGCAGTCGTCGTCGCTGATGGTATGGCGGCGGCGGCGGCGGCTCGCCCTTCCCTCCGGCCGCAATTCCGATCCCGCCGCGCTCGCGGGAGGTCGCGCGTATATATTTATAGAGAGGAAGGGCTATCCGTGCTGCTGTGCGCCCCCTGTGGTGCGTGGTTGCTTTCAAGTTCTTAGATCACAACCCAAGGATGATATAATAAGGCAAAAAGATCGTTGCGCCTTGCCGATCCGCACCTACCTAGGCTCATGGGTGGCGCGCTTTTTTCTTTTGACCTAGACTTCGTTGTTAATAGGAACAAGCGAAGGCACACACGACATGACGCCAAACACACGATTGCACGCACCGCACCGCACCTCGCACCCGCGCCCGCCGTCCTGCCTTTATCTTTTCCGGTACGGCTCCGGCCGTGATGGGGGCGGGGAGGGGGCGGGGGCGACGGCCGCACGGAACCGCCGCCGGCGGGGGGCGAGGGCGCGGGCGAAGGAGGAGGAGCCAGAGCCCGGGGAGGATTGGGAGGGGGAGGAGCGGCCCGAAGGAGTACGCCGGCCTCCTTTGACGACCCCGTAGGGGGCCGCCGCCCTGCTGTGCCATTTTGAGGTGGCCAGTCCCGACCCAGTTCTGCTGT